TGGGTGCCAGTCACGGCATGGAGGCATCTAGCTACCTGACTGCAGTGATTTGCGTGCATAAAATGTGAGATCAGGTGGGTAACCCCTTTAAAAACAAGGATTTATTTTCAACAAATACTTCCAGTATTGGCTTGTTAATTTTATTTTTATTCAGTACGTTTATTAACAGAATAATAGTCCATCTTGTTATGTGTATCATAAAATATTCCTGAGATATCATAGTTATATACATTAAAATGAGATACGTTGAAATATAATTTCCTGGCTAATTTTGGTGGAAGCTTCTAACTCACATCTGTCTTTTAACAAGCTCTGGAATTCAGTAGGTGAAACTCACTAGTATGTTTGCATAGTTAACCTCAACAGATCCCAGAAGACCTGAAATCTGTTGGTTTCCACCTCCTGGGATATTTGCTTTCCCATTCTCTCAAGAGGAAAAACCATCTGTCTGCAGTAGGAATTCTAGCAGCAGTCATGCTATTTAATTTTCAGAATTAGAAAAAGTGTTTGGATTCAAATCTGTAGTCTTCACTTGCAAAGGGTCCGACAGTCATGTGAATGCCACATCAGGCCAAATTCATATCTAGTACAAATGAGTAGAGTTACACTAGAGAGTAATCTTAGGCCATTGTGTTTTCTCAATATGTAATATACAATTTCATATATGGATGTTGTAACATTAGTTTTTGGTTCTTGAAAAAAAGTCTTGCAAACGAACCCATTCTCATCTCCCTAACAGGACGTTTCTTACTGCTATGTGACGTGCCAGTAGAAGAAATGGCAAAATATAAGAAAAAATAAAAATGTAAGGCATACATTTACTTTAAAATTGAATTGTTTATTGGTATTTCTATAACTATCACCACCAAATTATCTGTTGTTGCACAGAAGAGAATTAAAATTCCTGTTCTAAAATTATTTCCAAAACACAACATGAATAACCATGACTCACATTCCTGTGTTTTGAAAATAATTAGTAAGCAGCGGTAACATTGACATTTCAAGTAGACGCACTATCAGCTTGCTTATGCCATGTGCCAAAATTACAGCTTTTCTCACAATTATAGTAATGTGGTGGGCGGAGTTGGGATTGATATTAAATATGGTGTATTTGTAATCTGCCACTTCTTTGTTGAGAAACTAAAAATAATATAATGAACAGTTGTGTGAGGAAAACAAAATGATGTTTTGTACTCTCACTGCTGGCTTTGCAGTAGTTAAGTAATGAGAAATGTCCTCAGTGCTGTTTTCATCCAGCAATGCTAGAAAGATGCTTTTATGTGAGAAAGGACTTCTATATGTTGAAGTTGTTATTAAATAACAACAACAACAACAAAGCCAAGTAAATTTCAGCTGCATTCAGAGCACACTAAAAATTAGTCTTGGCCAGACAGAAAAGGGTAAAAGGTTCATAAAAAGATGTTTTATTTTTAAACTTTTAAGACGCTATTAATGATTAATGCTTTTAAAAAGCTATACAATCAACTGGATTTCTGAATTTATAAATGTTGAAAGACAGCTTTATAGGAACAAGCTTTTTTTCTTGTATAGTATAGATTGGCATGTTTGTTTATGTTCTAAATATATATCTTGATTATCAAAAATTTACTTGTCTGATTACTGTCATTTCAAAAGAGCCAGTGTTCTCCTTCTAAAGACTTAAGACTTATTTTTCAGTTGTACAGTATATCAGAGGGCTAGTTAGAGTAATATTGAATAAGAAATGCAATATGAAAGTGATCTACAAAAAGAATGCATTACTATAGTCAAGCTGTTGTATCCTGTTGGTTGATGTAGCATGTTGTATTTAATAAAGCGATACCTTTATTAAATGAGGGAATGTTTGTGTTGGGAAGATTGGGGGTGAAGAAAAAAGGCTAGGGAGCGAGGGGAGAGACTGATAGAGACAGATAATGTGAGGCAGAAAGGGAGATTGTGGGTGGCGCAGGAGGGCTAAAAGGATGGGAAGGGGGGGGTGGGGTAAATGAAATGGAGGTGAGGGATTGATGGAATGGGGGAAGGGAATAATCTAGCTTGGGTTTCTAATATAAATTTAGATGTAAAAGTCTGTGAAAATGAAACTCTAGTCTTTAATGTTAAATATCCATATAATGTGGAAAAGTGTAAAAATATATATGATGAGCTGGTTTACTGCACATGCTCTGTGTGTTTATTTGAACAGTCAATATTGTGGTAATTAAAATAAACACACTAAGCACATTGCTCTATGGTATCAAGCAGTCAGCTATAGTTCTTTTCATTTTAAAAAATACATAAGAACGGCCATACTGGGTCAGACCAAAGGTCCATCTATCCCAGTATCCTGCCTTCCGACAGTGGCCAATGTCAGGTGCCCCAGAGGGAATGAACAGAACAGGTAATCATCAAGTGATCCATCCCCTGTCGCTCATTCCCAGCTTCTGGCAAACAGAGGCTAGGGACAAAAATACAATACAAATGAAAGGACAAAGAAACTAAGGAATAAATGGATGCTGATCCACTTTGCAGGCTCCCAAATCTGCCCAGGTTTGCTCTGTGAAACAGCTCCGGGGCAGACTTGGAGGTAAGGAAGCATTTTCCCCACTATGCAAAATCTACAGCAGTGTCATGTTTATGGTTCAGAATGTGCATGTACAAAAGTCAAGGAATTCTGAATTCTGATTCTGAGAACACTTATTCAGTCATGTTATGTGCGTATATTAAACGTTCAAGCTAACACTGTATACAGTAATACAAAATAGTACATATGCCTAAGAAAGGACTGAGGTGCAGTTGGTCTAGGAATTCCAACTTTGAATGATGTATTTGAATAATATCTTTTGTATTATGTCAGTTGCCTTTCATATGGCATTTCTGACTGTAACCTCCCATAAAATTAAAACTCTTCTCCAGTTCAAAATTTCACATTCTGGGTTAGCCCTCTGCTTTACACTTTTGTCTGAGATCATGCTAAGCCAGTTGGCCCTAACTTAAATATTCAGCAGACTTCTGATAATTGTGATAACCCTTATAGGCTGGTGAGCATGGCAAATTAGCAAAAAGATGATTGATCTTTTTTATATGCAGTTTTATCTTCAACCTTTCCTGGCTATGTGTTATACTATAGTAATAATTTCTTCTCTAAGGTATTTGCCAGTATCTAGATTTGCACATCTATTTACAGTTGCCTCGAAGCCTCATAATTACAATACAGCTGAAATGTCCATTTTCTTTCCCTGACTACAAATAGGGATCAATCGAATTTTAAATGACTGCTTACGGGCTAGCTTCCAATCATGACCTTTGTAAATGATTAGAGCTCACCACTGTTCCTATCTACCTTGAAAGGGTAAGCGGGCAGGTCTGTCTTACTGGCATTTAATCTGGAAGACAGCCAAAGATATTTGAGCTAAAAACCTAATATGAGTTGGCAAAGGGAAGTACATATAGACCTTTGCACTACCATAGAGACATTATGCCCATGTTTCACTTTGGTATTTAATTAATTATTTTATCTTATAGATGATTGAGTTGTATGGATGTGCTTAATTTTTGTGTTGAAATTATCATGCAAACTTTAAGTTGCAAAATAAACAATAGAACTTAAATTCACAGTAGGAGGAGATGTCAAAGAATAGCCAGATTTAAAACGTTAAATATACTACATTTTAAGCACTCTCTTTCTTTGCCAAAGAAGGTTAATATATGCAATTAATCTAGTTAGAATAAATTGCAAAAAGAAGTGATATAAAATCCAAAATGATGCAGGAAATAAGACATTTCATACATTTCTGCTTTTTTAAACAGAAAGTGAAGGAGAAAACACACAGCATGTTCTGTTTGTTTATTTAAGCACCTGATCACTCAGCAGTGATCAGCAAATTCAGAGCTTTCATTGTCTGTGCAATTTGCAGTTAAATAATTACTGAGTCATTTCTAAGCACTCCTGCCAAGTCATGTTTTCTGTCACTGAGGAGATGTGCTTGTCCCAGTACAACCTGTCAAACCTCAAGCCACCATTGAAGCACTTGAAACAGTGTCTTATGATCTTCTGTGGAGGTGGAGCAGTTAAATCAGTGAGAGATTAGAAAGCAAAAACCTCTTCTGAACAAACCAAATCATTGCAAAAAATAAATAAATGTGAAAGTAATGCTGAGACATGAATGATTGTGTCTAATTAAAATGTATGTGCTACATTACCTAACCACGATTTTCATTGCTTTTGTACAATGTTAACACTACGCTTTTTGTGCACTTATCTGTGGAAAATGTTTGTGCTCATTAACTCTTTCTAAAGGGATTGTAGAATGTGTAATGAGTAAAACAAACTGACCTTTTCAGCAGAAGGCTATCATATTTTTTCCTATTTTCTGTTCTTCCCCTTTTTGCAACAAATAGTATCTAACTTGTAGATCAAATATGTTGCTTTCCTTGCTCCATTCTGTGACTAAATCTGGTGTTAACTAAACCCTAATCCGTTACAGTAATTGGAAATTCAACTTTTCATTACCATGTTGCCAGAAAAAACTTTTACTAATGTTCAGATATAGGGATTTTTGAGTACTTTCTGAAAATGAATATTAAGTGTAGGTGAAATGGTCAAAATAAACTTCAGATTTTGAAATGAAAGGAAATGTTTGAATTATTGTACTATTTTGGCTTTTTATTTGTACTTAGAGTCTTCATAGAAGTCATAGTCTGGAGATGTATAGTACATACTACTTGCCAATGAAATAAATTCCAATGTTTAAGAGTGGGATTTTCAAAGGAAGCTCAGTGATTTGGAGAACAAATTCCATGGAAACCAATGGGATTTGTGCACCTAAGCCACTGTGACACTTTTGAAAATCTCACCCTGATATTGCATGTTTGAGTTGTTAAGATCCGGCATAGCCATATACAGCATGATCCCGTGAGACATTTGGGCACTCTCAACTTTCACCACTTTGCATGATCAGGCCTGAGAGTAACATTTGATATGTGAATGAAATTTAAAATTATATATTTTTTCCCTGTAATAGATGCAGCAACAAGAACTAGCACAGATGAGGCAGAGGGATGCCAACCTAACTGCATTGGCAGCTATCGGTCCACGGAAGAAACGGAAGCTTGATTCAGCTGGCTTACTTACCATAGGAGGAGAGGTAAAAAAACCAACAACAAAAACGATTACATTTATTGTGAAAATCAATAATTTTGGAAACACATTAGTACTTACTGTGGAATACTCCTGAGTACAAATCATAACTACAGATTCTGAGAGTTGGTATTCTTAGTGGATTATGTAATGTGGCGAAGATGATACAAAGTACTGAATCAGAAAAAAATAGAGTCCAGATTCTTTAATTTACCACCCAAAATCCAGAGACGATAATGTGGAATAAATTTAGTCTAAAATGAGATCTCCATTATCTTAAACTTTCAAGAATCATCTTTCAATATATAATTTTTCTTTGACAATAATTAAGAATTAAACCAGAAGGACTTAAGCCTCTATCTAAAAATGTTTTTAGAATGCTTTTAAAATTAATGGTTCAGGCTAGGCAACCAGTGACCTACACAGGAAAGGTGAAAAGAAAGAACAAGTCAGGGAGAAATATCATTAGCAAGTAGTTGGAGTTGCTTGAGGTGTGGGTTGCTTGTGTGTCGTGTTGGTAACGGTCAGTCTGTGTTACAACTGTGTTACAAAATGGCTGCCCCCTCACACTGTGAAAGCACAGTTCCATTTTTATAGTGTAGGCAGGACTGTATACTATACAGAACAGCTGTCTCGCTGATCCAGGCTAAATCATTGAATGTTCCAGCGTATATGTTTTAACATGCTTCAAACCACCGGTGAAGCACTTCAGACAGAGTATCTCAACAGAAGTGCATGAAAGAACAATTCTTCTTTGTGCTAAAGAGCATACATCCATTACAATGGGTACTTCAGCCTGGATGCAGGACCAGATTTGTTGGTAGGCATTCCCTTGTTGCCTATGATTTTCCTCAAGTTCCGGCTGCCAACTCCACCTGCACAGCAGCAGGCACGTTTAATTCCTACCACAGAGCTTCATGTCCTCTGGCGCACATGTATTTTTAGTGTAAACCCACCCTAAACAATCTATCTGGTTTTGTGCATGATTGCCTCTCCTCTTCTCGTCTCTCCGATTCAATGGATTTAACACACTGTGTGAGTAACCACAACAATACAGGTGGAGAAACATCCATAAGAACCTTATCTGTATGAAGGATGGGCTTATCCATCAATACCAGGTCTGTTTAAAAATTAAGCCTTTGGTTAAAGGATGGGTCTTTTATACCCTTGAGCCACAGAGAAGGGCAGTCAGGGAGGTCCCAGCTGTCACTGATGTTGAAAAATCATACGGTGGGGTAGAGGCTACTACTTCCTCTTCACTTGATCATTTGGAGCTGAAATAAAGGGAATTTTTCAGCCTGAATAATTACTGCACAACCCTCTTTGTCCTTGACTGGCCTGTTTCTGAGTGGTCAGCAAAGGAGCTTTTAGCTTCCAACCTTCTGTCAACTGATGAAGAACCTATGGGTTGTGTTTGTTGGAACATGTGCTAGACGGAATCTGAATTCACCAATGGAAAGGGTTAGTATTGGTCAGTTGCTTAATGGATACTGCCAAGAGTGTAGAAATCCACTGAAATAGGGAGCAGCCTTTGTGACCACATAATCACAAACTGTGGGCTTACAGTCACAGAAGGTGTTAAATCCTGTACATAGTCCTTAATGAGTAATATTAGAGTATAACAGGGAAAGTGTAGAAGGGGCATCATGTGACGTTTTAGCCACAGGAATCCCATTGACTGTAATGAGTTGTTTGGCTGTTACCTCATTCAGTACTTGAAAATTTTACTTTCTAAAAGTTCAAAACAATGAGAACATGCAATCTACTATTGAAGTTAAGTATCATATTTAGAAAAGATCTGAATGTTCATTTACATACGTAATTCTTATTGATTGCAAAGTTAGCTATTTCTCCCTCTACATAATGCAATTGTCAGTTATTATTTCAGTTTTGTCTCTCTTTCCAGTATTTGTGTACATGGTTTTTTAAGGTACTTACATTGGAAGCATTTTTTGTGGATGTTGCATAACAGCAGGATTTATTTAGGACTCTTTAGTGGAAAGATCTGATGCTTCTGGTAATGCAGAAAGTGCTCTTCATTTTACAGTAAGTTATGATAATTGAACTAACTACAGACATTTAGTATTGCTTGGATTCATCTCTCTGCTTGGGCCAGAAAATACATTGGTAATTAATACTGGTTAAAATGATAATTCATATTTAGAATATGTATAATTGTGAAAAAGCAATTTCAGATACTGGGATAATTTCACCTTTGCTGAGATGAAAGGATTTTGATTACACAAACTGTGTAAAGAAATATTGCCACCTATCATGAAGAAATAGAACCATCGAAACATATTTTCCAATATACTAAGCAAATTCACTGTGATGTAATTTTAAAATAAGTTAAACTTATGATTCCTTGAAATGTTAGTTGTGTTTGTGTGAGAGAATAGGTAATAACGTAAGTTTTCTTTTTTCTTAAGCAATTGATTAAATACTCCGCTACACACTTCAGTTGATGTCAGTGGTGTAATTTTAAATAAGGCTATGAAATAGGAACAAAACTGTTGAACTGACCTGCTATCAAAAGGTATATTTGATAATAAAACCAAGAGTTGGTGGGTAATTTGTGTTATATTTATAAAGAAAATATATTCCCTTTTAGTTTCTGTCTGGGCTAACTCACTGTAGTTCTCTGTTGCTTTATCTTCTCATTCTCTATATGCTTCACTCACTTTGTGTTTAGTCCTTTCCTTGTCGTCTTTCCTTTATGTGATCCTGTAGAAATGCAACTTCCTCTGTAGCAGCTCATAGCCCAAACCAACATTCAGGCTGTTTATTACTATATTAATGTAGTTTAATTCAAGAGGAGAGGGAAGGGGAAAAGGGAATGTATGATGCCTTTCAGAGAATTGAACTTGATCATTTCAGTAGGTTCTTTTTATTTGTTCATCTGATGATTTCTAATGATGTTTTGAGAAATTAGATCCAAAATATTAACATTACTTTGATTGAAGGGCTTGGATTTTTGTGGCAGGGTTTTGAATTTTGGACCCTTCTATTGTTTTGTGAACCTCAAGTGTTTAAAAATCATGAGTCAGTGTTCCCAAAATCATAAGATTTTAATAATAATAATAATAATGGACTTTGGGTTGTTTTGCCTTTTTTCATTTGAAACCTGTATGGTTCATGTTTTCAAGCTTTTCTCTGGAACCATGAGGGTTAGAAACTTGATTTTCTTTATAAAGCAGAGATTCTAGTGTAATTGCAGGAACTGGGACTTTAAGAAAAATACTAAATATCACTAAATTTCTGATGAATTTGCAAGAGTTGCTTCTAATAATTCAAAATCTGTCTTGAGTATCCTTATACAGGTAGCTAAATTTGTATATTCCATGGAGTGAAAGTGCACAAGTTAAGTGCAAATATTTGTCTAGATTAAGCAGTAATATTAATTAACACATTTTGGCTCTTCATCAAAAGAGACAGCTAGTGTCCCAAAATATGTAAGTATGAAATATATGTTTGAAATATCTGAGATTATCGTTTGTTTAAATATCAAGTGAAAGCAGCATATGAAGGCCCCTGTGCTGGTACTTGCTGGCACAGATGTTTTTTGAATACTGATCTTTCAACAGCAGCTTCAGGGCTAGTTCAGTGAATCACCACTTATTGAAGACAATCATTTCAGAGATAAAGAAAAAGAACCTCTAACATAGTGGAAGAGCCACCATCTTAAAAATACATAGCAAGCTAACCCCAGACCTCCATCCTCTACCAGAAAAAAAAAATTGCTGAACTGAATTGCAGAATGTTCAGTATCAAGTCCTGGATCAGTAGCAGGATTGAGGTCCAATACCTTGTTTCCCTTCAGGACTAGAAAGCATATCTTTATGTCATCCAGGGATAGAGATTCCCATATAGCCCTGGAAGGTCCCAAAATGATTGCACTTTAAAATGGTGACATTTGATGTATAGAAAAGCTGATTTAGGTCAGTTTAAGTAGTATTCTAAATGCATATAAAAGACTCCTTATACTCCTTCCAGCCTTCTGCCCAGATGGTGACAATAGATGGGTAGTTACAGCTTGCCTTGAAGGTCACAAGACCTAGGCTATGGCAGATTGGTTGAAGAGATCAAGGGACCCCTCCCAGAGAATGCCTTACCAGCAGCTCTCTCATTGTAATGGAGACTCCAGCTGAAGTGCCTCTATTGATCTCAGCTGCAGCAGTATGACATGAGGAATGCAGTGATCTTTCCAGGGAACCAGATCCCAAACCAGTTAGACCTTTACAGGATTAAAGGCAATACAGTGAGTTCCACTTGGAAGCCAGGGTGAATTCCAGAGCACTTGGGGTAATGTGCTCTTGGCATGGAACCCTGCTTAATAAGCAAGGCACCACATTCTGCACCACCTTCAGCTTCTAAATGGTACCGAAGTGCAGCTCCACATAGAGTGCTCTACAGCACTCTAATGTTAAGGTGATAAATGGGCAGCAGGATGGGCTTGTAGTTAAGGCATTGGTCTGGGGCTCAGGAGATCTGTGTTCATTTACAAATTCTGTCACAGACTCCTGTGGGCCATAGGTAAATTGCTTGATTCTCCCTATGCCTCAGTTCTCGATCTGTATAATAGGACTAGTAATACTTCCTTACCTCTCAGAGGTAATGCAAGGATAAATTCAGCCCAGGATCTAACCCACCCAAATTATGCACCCGCGTTACAAATGGAACACTCAGTCCTTGTAGTAGGGATGCCAACATAAGCTCTTCTGGATGCCTCCCACCTTCCACCAGCTTTCACTGTCTTGTCCAGATTAAGTCATATCCAAGCCCCAGCTTCATTTAGGTACTGGGTAATTTGGTCTTCTCTGACTGGGTCAGACATGATTAAGAAGTGAAGCTGTTTTTCCTCAGTATACTGAATGCATTGCAGAACATGTCTCCTCACAGATTCCCCCAAAGGCTTTTCTACACTCTTTGAATAGGAAGAGTGACAAGATAGCCCCCTGTGGTATCTGGAGGGACAAACCTTGTCACAGAGGAGCAATTGTCCACAAC